AAAAATGAAGGAAATAAGAAGTCAAACATCTCAAACAGAAGATGTTGGAAGAGATGATATTTTCTCAAAGGTTCTTGGAAATGACAAGGTCGGAAGAGTTCGCATGTATGGATTTGGTGTAACTCCTTATGTTGCGTGGGGAGAAATCCCAAATCGAAGTAGCGCTTATCGATTAATAGAAGGTTACAAGGAAGCTTTCGAAAAAATGGAAAAACAAGTTCAAGAACAGGGTGAGGTAATTGCTAAAATGAAGTTGGATATGCAAAGTACACAGCATGCTACTAATAACACCCCATTAAGAGCTACTCAATATTCTCAAAATGATGATGTACACTCTTTCAATAATAGTGCTCATATCCAAGTAAGCAAACTATTTACTTATGAACTTATAGAGCCATATTTTAACCTTTCAAATGCTGTTACAAATTTTGTTAGATCTTATAAACTTCACATATATATATATAGGTTGGAACTAAAGTTGCAGTCAAAAGTGTTGTTGATTCTACTAAAACTATGGCAATTGGATATATTCGAAGTATGGATCCTACACATATGGTTGGTAACTATCCATTAGGCCAAAATTGGTGTTCAGTTCATATAAACATTCCTGTGAATTGGGAAGAACACTTGATAAGACCGTACAGTACTTTAACAACAATTGGACATGCAATTGGAACTTATGTTGCATGGCCTCAAGCTTTAGTAAGTATTTTTTTTTTATAAATATTATGTTATGTTGATTAATTTTTTTGATAAATAATCAGAATACTTATGTTTGTGTAATTAATTTAATTCAGGTTGTTCGTGAAGAAGATTGATATATAACAAGAATTATAAAATTCTGAAGAGTCTACTCGGATTTGAACAGTCTTACATTTACTACAATAACAAAATACTTATGTTTTTTCATTTGCTTGTTGGATATTTTATGGAATATTGTTTTTGCTTTTCAAACGCGTAGCTTTCTAACCCTGCAACTCTGCTACTAGATCAGTATGATGCAGCTAGTGAGTTTCATATTTTCAGTGAATGGATGATATAATTGCGAGTTTGTGTTAACTATAGAATCAAACTTCTATCTTAAAAGGATTAAAGTAATTTTTTCCTGTCTATATTATTTGCATTTTAAGCTGATTATGCAATATTCATGACTCATGAGTTTTCTTTCCTGTAGTTCAATAGTTCTTCTGAACAAAAATTCTGAAGTTACTAAAGATATTGGCATGTGCCTACAATAATTTGGTGAATTTATCTGTTTACTAAACTTAACATACATCTAAATCAGTGTAATTCATCAGTCCTTGTTCATCAATCTTCTTTATAAGAAAGCATTCTTAATAAATTACTTATATTTATGTGATTTGCAAGATGTCCTTCAGAATATTTTATTTTAGGAAAAAAATCACTCGTTGCTTGTGTTGAAATTTGAATGAGAAATCACACGGATTGAAGGTTTTATGAGTTTCTTTGTATGTTTCTTGGTGGATTGTTGCTTGGATCCATGTTATTTCTTATTAACTTTCAAAGTAAGGTTGATTTGCTGTATCAAGAGGACAGAGATATGTTCTTTCCCTTATAAAATAAACTCTTTGCTCTACTTGGGTAGGTGAGCAAAAGAAACTTCTCTATTACGTTTCTTAATAGCATTGCATTGGAGAGACAGACCTTCACATGAGTCATCTTCATCACTATCCTATTCTTTTGTTGCCTTCGTCAAGCTCTTTGCCTTGTGCATCACGTCTTGACTTGCTTCTATCATTAACAATTTGTGGTTGCTCCTTTCTTGATGTTCTGAATCTTGACTTGCAGTTGTAAATCCGTTAATTAGGCTTTCCTTGCATGATCTTTTGATCTCATGTAGTTTGGCTAGATCATTGATCTCCTGCTATTATTTATTGTCTTTGATATCTAGTATTCATCAATGAACTTTTTCGTTGTTCCTTAAATTTAGTGTGTCACAATTTTTCTTTTGTACGAGTAAATATGAGATTTCTGTGTTGGAGTTTTTGTATTACGGTTTTGCCTGATTTCTTAGATTTTGTCACTGTTTCCTTTTTAGCTCCATGGTTGCCTTTATTTACGAAGCCTGAGGTTCTTCTGTTGCAAAGGCTCGGTTTAATGTCTTTAACTAGACAATGATGAAAGTTGCTATTATTGATCCATTCCCTATGAGGGCCATTTCTGCAACCAGCTTTCATGAAAGGCAGTTTTTCTGCAACTTGAGTTCTAGGAAGGCAGTATCTTCAACTTTGGGAAATTTTATCTGATTTGCAATTTGGTTTGGTATTTAGTTTGCATCTTTTGGATTTTGAATCCAGCTTAGTTGGTTTTCCTTATTACATTTTTCACCTATGATTGTGCAGTAGCACTTGTGCCGAGTTAAGTTTCGTTAAACTGTTTAGTTGTTGTGAGATATGGTGATTGATTCCTTAGAACGCAAATCGTGCTTTAAATTTTTTTTTTTTTGAAACAGTGGCAAATATACAGGCTTAATGCACAAGTGATTTATTGCATGGATGTTGTTTGTAACCTGATTTACCTGGGAAGAAAAGCTTTCATGGCAAAAATGTTCACACCATACAGACAGAAATTCCTAGGCCCAAATTGATTTATGATTTCACTAACAAGTAATAATTTATATTGACTTTCTTTGTTTATTGAGATTTATGGATTTAGATAGACCTTACAGAATATGCTGAGAAACACAAAGCCAACATGGTTTGCTTATGGACAAACAGGTAAGTACTTATGTTTGTGCAACAATTTGTTTAAGGTTTTATATTTAAGACTTCTTTATATTTTTATTGAACAAAAAAATATTTTAGTTGACTATAAAATTGTTGGACTTCTTTTTATTATTTTTCAAAATTTATTCAACTGCTGCCCATTTTGCTTTGGCAGCTTGTTCAATTTGACGGGTAAACACTGGACAGCTTGTTCAATTTTGCTAATATTGTTTGTTGTAAACACTGGACAGGATTTTCTGCTAATATTGTTTGTTGTAAACACTGGACAGCTTGTTCAATTTGACGGGTAAGCATTTCTATAGAGCAAGTTGATATATTCCTTGTCCTCAACGACTGCGATCCACTCTGTAGCTTTTCACTTATCATGGACAAATTATTGTACATAATTCGCATTGAAAAGTAGTGAAAAAAAAACTCTACATAAAGTTAATCTATTAGGACATCATGTGATCACAATTGTTTCATATGAAATATGTGATGATATATATAATTTCAATAGTGTTTTCCTTATTTAAATTCATGAAGAATTTTTTTTTCTGTGAAAGAACTTATCTTATGTTTTTATTATGTCATGAACAGATTCAGGCCAAAATGCTTACCCGTTTTGCATTGATCCTTCTAATGCTCCAGCATTTATCAAATTTTGGCAAAAATATCTACCATGCTCATGCTTTTTCATTCATGAACACTTTAATTTTATAAAGAATTGCAGTAAAACAGCAAATGGCTCGTTATTTATTTCTTTGAAAAGGAGTTAGCATTTTTATTGATCTTATATCAATAGTTTTTTAATTCAAAACTTCTAACATGTTCAAAATTATTTCGGGCTTCTCTTGTTCCTTGGAAACTGCTGACTTGATTGAAGAAAATGTTAAAAAAGTTGAGCCAGTGACACAGAGAAACTACATCTGTGATGTAATTGCCTTTCATTTCCTTACCCATCGATGAAATCTTTCTTTCCTTGTTTTGTTCTATGTGGATTGCTAATCCTGCTATTTTTGGATTATAGTTTATGATATGTGGGCTGTTGTTTATTGGTTTGTATATGTTGCTTTGTTTCATCATCCTTTTATAGATCCTTGTATGTTTTTTGTTCGTTGTCTTTGGTTTGCTTTTTATAGTTTATGAAATTGCTTGGTGTTTGTTGCTTGTGGATTATGAATTTTCTGGTGGATCTCTTTAGTTGCCAAATACATGAAATATTTTTATATTTATTCTTTTGCAGTACAGCACACCATCGTTATATTAGCACTGTAACTTCCCCATATGTTAGCTGAACTTCAGCTGCTATTTTGGTTTTTGAATTGATTTGGTTATTATAGCGACGTCTGATTGTGCTTTTTAAATTTTTTCTTCAAACTTTCTTATGTTTAGATGATGAACAATTAGTTGGAATCTGATTTGTAAATGTGAAATATTCTCTTGGTTGGGCCATCAATAGTGCTTTGTTAGCTGTAATTAGTATGTGAGCGGTTGATTTGATTTACTGTAGCTGAACCTCAGTAATCTCAAATTAAATTGAAGAAAAAAAAAATTAATCAGCACAACATATGAAAAAAAAAACTTCAATGATTTTTTATTTGGTCGCAATTTAAAGCTATTAAAAGGGTCAGTTTAATTATAAACCCATAAATTGGATCCTTTAAAGGCCCTAATAAATAGCTTCCACTTTCGACATATTACTGTTAGCTTCCACTTTCGACATATTAGTTTTCCAATTCAAAACTTTTTACACCAAAATATCAGCTTTGTAGAACAAGATTGGCCCTCTTCTAGCTTATGCTAATACCTATGTGATGTAGATTTGCTTAGGTATGATTTTTGTTTCAACTACAGCTGAACTATATAAACCTTACAAAAGTATTAATATAATTTTTGCCTTACTACAAATCTTGCGTTTGAGAAAAATGCGGATACAATACAGTTGAATGGGTTCGGTACATTACAAATGCTGGATCATATGAAATTAGATGTGAAGACTTGGTATTGCATATGTTGTTCACTAGAAGGAGAAGAGTTTTTGAATTTTGAGTTGATTTTGTCATTTTACAGATGTTTCATTGTACTATTTTTTCAAAAAAAAATTCCCTTTAAATGAACTGAATCTGTTGATTTTTTGGATCGTTTTGCTTGAATTCTTTTTTGCATTCTTATTTTTATTTCACCTGAACATTCATAGTGATTACTGTCAAGAATTCTGGTCAGTCATTGATGCAATCATAAATAAGGCTCAGATGAAGATAAAGATTTGTACTGACAGAAAAATTTTATTCTTTCTGTTACCTCATCTTCATCATTAGCCTTATGAGACCATGTTGAATTCAGTTTATGCAGTTTTTTCCCCAATTCTAAACATGTTCTCTTTAGTTTTACTCTTTGTCATAAATATTCTTCCTACAATAATTATACATATGCCGCACTGCTTCTTCCATTTCTTTTCACTCTTATATATGCCTTAACAACTTAAGCCGATTTTCTGTAAAATTATCGTTTGTATGTGCTACTCCATCACTATATCTGGCACAATTACTTTTTGGTGTATCCTGGCATTTCGCTGAAATGCTCACGGGCAGTATATTGCTAAAGAAGGCTGAAATATGCTCATTACCTTTCTTCAGGATACAACCTTGAAAACTTTTTAAACCAACGATGTACCAATCTTTTAACGAGTCCAAGTGGTAATTGCTAATTTTTAGAGACTATAAGCTTGAAAATACAATTTTTTTTAAAAGGTTTGCAGCATACGCATGGGTCTAGTTACATCCATATCCTTAAACTTTATCTTTAAACCGGCAGAATGTTGTCTCAAAGAAGCGGCTTGTTTTTATTTCTTTGCACCTAAAACCTATAATCTTGGAAAGAGTAAATACATATATTGTCACCTATGTTACAGGTGTTTACTTGGATGTTATTGTAGAGTGATAACTTTTGGGTATTTAATAATTTAACAGATGGTTTATTTTCAAATGAAATAGAATTCAATACAAAGCACGGCTTGTAGAAATGGTGAAGGGGACAAATATTTGGACAACGAGAACCTCTAAAAATTCTTACAAGTAATTAAATAGCTGCCGTAATTTTGAGGTAGGTTACTTCATGCTGGTATAGTTTATCTATTAAAGCTCTTTTCT